GCAAACAATGACAGGTCAAAGGTCAACAACAACCAATCAAGATCGAGGTTAGCAGAACAAGCTACAGGTCAAACGTGGAGAAATTCTAATGCTTCACTTCTATCTGAAGTTCGTGCTGATGATGTTGTTCAGAAGAACAATGAAAGCTCCACAACCAAAACAACCAGCTCAGAGAACGAAACATCACCACAAACAATCCCCTTCACTAAAACATCAAAACAGAGTAATGAATAAAAGGGGATTGTTACAATAATAAACTTTTTAACAGACTCTGTTAATTAGTGCATAAACTTACTTTTTAGCACCACCACCACTTGATGTACTTCTTGCATTCCGAGTTGCTTGATTTTGATATCTTTTTTGTAATAACATAACACCGAATATAATCAGCAAGATGAATAGTACACAAAAGCATATACCAAGTGCTACAGCCCAACTAACCGGTGATAAAACTTTAGAGAAAAAAGAAATAATGAAAAGAAAATTAATAAAAAGTGTTAAAAATAGATGATTGCTCTAGTGTAATGATGAAATACAATCTAACTGCTTAGTTAATATTCCTTTCAAACATCATGAGGAATAATTAACATAACTGTGAGTATATTACTGGTCAGAATTTGTTTCGGGTGTTAATTTCACCAAGGATTGAAAGGGATTGATTGATTCTAATGTCACCACAGATACATGTTACTTAAAGGCTGGTATATCATCTTTTGAGAATATGAGTCAATCAGTCGGCTTTAACCAGTGAATGAATACATTCTCCGTAATGAGACCGACTTCGAGTTAGATGAACGATATTGAAGATATTTTGTGTAGAGATAAAGTTATATATATGTATGAGACTCCTCAGCAATGAAGACCAGTGACACTATCAAGGATTAAACTTGAGATTTTCAGATCTTGTGGTGGGAGCCTAGTCCTAATTAAAATTAATGTGTAACGAATATTGCTTGCACAATAATTATAAAATAAATGTTGCTTTGTTCAATTAGAGTTATGGAGATTAGTGTTTTCACACATTTGCAATCATCAATCAATCATTGTTAGACCATGTTGTAACGGTTGCTACTTTTGTAAGGCTTGCTTAGATAATTCCCAGCAAAATCCTATTGCTTAGTATTCTCTGACCACAATACACCACTGGACAAGTTCCCAAGAATCAAAACACGGTTGAACAGGAAAAGATTATATTCCAAAATAGCAGGAAATAGAAGCCAGAGGTGATGGCGAAGGCAAGAAGGCAAAAAATAGATACAACGCTAGTCTATTTATAGCATTTGCATGAGAAAGCTTCTGGATAGAAATTCACGTGATCGACTGGATTAGATTTAGCCAATCAGCATGCAGCTAACAATACGAGAATCTTCTACCCTGTTCTCCAAGATTCGATCAGGCGCTGATTGGATAGGAAATTAGTCAATCAGCGCGCAGCAACGTAGTCATGCTTTAATTCCATCTATGTCCCACTAACAGAACACCATTAGAAACCTGGAAGCACTGAAAGACGGCCGTTTCGTCCTGGTATGGGACTCATCGGTGGCAGTGCGCATCCACGACTCCTGCACCTCGCAGGATTCGAACCAGGGACCTTCGGTATTGTTGCTTTGTTAAGATTTGAAATATTTAACTTAAGGTAACTAACTCAGTAAGCAAATATAAATACACACATTCTGTTTTTAACCACGATTTATTGTTCTTCCTTTGTTGACAGTTATGTGTAGGTAGATAAAGGGATGTCTGGAATATAACCAGAAATCTTGAACTGATGGTAACTGGTCTTTGTTCTTCCTCTTCTACTGGATCAAGCTAGTATTAGGTCGTCGTTCGAGCACAGAGTAGTCAAGTCTTCCGTTTATGTCATATATTGACAATACTGTAAACACGATACTTCAAGAATCGAAAGAACATCCATAATTCAGGGGCAAACAAAATAAGATATAATAATACTAGTACAGGCTCCAAATCATAGTTGTACATAAAAATATACGATAAACTTAATCATTCTAACTTACCAGCTACTACAAATCGAGTACGGGTAATTGTTCCATTTAGTCCCAAGAATGTTGTATCGCCTGGAAGAACGTTGCGAGCAGTGCAACTTAAAAGAAGTTCAACACCTGGAGTAGCATTATGTGCTAAGTAAAATGTAGCTCCTTGGATACTATATTCATCAGGTCTGAGACCTAATTGACGATGCCTCTCCACAGTGGACAAACCAAGCCCAGGAACACGATGAGCACGTTCGTAAGGTTCTTTTCCATTCCCGTTTAGCCACTTGTTATCAGGACCCACTGGGGCCTGATGAAGTGTGCCAGAAGATGCAACAGATGAAGTATCTTTACTTTCGGTCCCAGGTGGGGAAGGTACAATCTGTTGTGGAACTATATCTAGTCCTGCATTAGTAAGCGTTAATTCTCTAGTTATAGGATCATCTTCAATTAGAGGAGGTAGTCGACCACCTTGACGTAGAGCGTCGATTTCTTCAACCGTAAGTGGGTTAGGCGGGCGTAATGGTTGTGTAAGACGGAGAGATAACATGGGAGGTGGGTGTCCGTCGGCATAGCACGTTATCTCTGACCCAACATAGATAAAACCTTCACGAGGACGAGGCAATAAATAAGATATTGTAGTTGGATCTAAAAAAGAAAACAAAAAATTGTTAAGAATAGAGCTAAAGCTAAATAAAACTAATGAATGTTTGCTCATTCTAAATTGTTTTTAAAATTTCCGGACTTATACAAAAGGTTGGGACATGTGTTGCGTATGCCCAACCACCGACTGCCTCCACGAGCTTTGTTTTGTAGTGTAGGAATACGTTGGAAGAAAGTTAGGGGCGGCCAAACCGAAACATGGCACAAATCCATGAAGTCATTGACGAGTGGACTTAGCCATGTCGGTAATTATCGACTACCTGGTTGGGGTCCGCGAGATGATAATAATCGATGGTTAGAGAACCTGAATGACATGGCTCAAAACCGTTTGTAATGGCGCCGGTGAATTTATTCTTTGTGTTCTCTCAAATCCTAACCTTCTGGGTTCTTCAACAGCTCTAGTTTTGACTTTCTAGACTTTTCTCATTAAATTATACTTCTTGAATAATATCTTCTAATCCTATCCTCTCCGATTACTCCTAATACCTTTACTACCTCTTCTACTATTGGATTTGAATTGACAATTACATCTCTGTGCTGATGTGGTATGGCGACATGAACTGACGTACTTACGTACGAAGTTCTACGTTGCATCTGACTGACTGACTGACTGACACAAAGAGTAACTCAAAGTAAGCTATATTTATGTAAACATATCTAAGGTAAATTAAAGGTTAAGCCCTCGATCTTATTGCGAAAATAGTACTACACCACAATTGACATGTCATATTACACTCAGAAAATGAGGCACCATTAAATACCAGTCAGCTAGCTATTAGGTGATTTGTTTGGGATTTATGACTTGAGTAATCTTCTTTCCTAATTTCAAGTTACTATCAAATTTTAAGGCAGTTCACAAGCTTTCTGTTTACATCACGTAACGGATACACAGGAAGTAGAGTGTGGACGTTTAACAACACACTAAATATTTCAGTAACAAACTAAAATTTCAAGTTTAAGATTTCCATAATTACTTCCAAATATCAAGATGCACATATATGGTGAGAGAGTTAGTATCTGCTAATTAGATAAATCGATAATAATACGAGAATGGAATATTAAGAATATCACAGAACAATGCAGAATCAACTGATAAAATCCGTATACTAAATATCTAGTTTCAGAAAGCATAATGAGGGCATAATGCTAGATCTAATGTAGCATACTAGGATGAGGTCTTACTTTATCTAGTTTTAAATATTGGATTTTCCCCAGTCCCATCAATACTATTCAATAGTAGTGTTCTAATTCATTCGCTTATATATTTAACCTACTTCTTTGTAATCACTCACTATTTTTATCTATAACAACTTGGATCATAGTGTAGTGAACGAGAACACAGGTGGGGCAACCGAATTGTATTTAACGAAAATTACAGAGTTACTCAGTAAAATCGGAAAACCATATCGTAAATCGTTCATTTGCAAAATAACAGTTCATCATATCGAACTGGACTGTTCCTGTTGCAAAACATCAATCTACTGTCACTATTCCTGCGTTTCATACAAATTCCATTGTTCCCACTCTTCCTTTCTTGATCTTCCCCCATATTATGCTGCCAGACATTACGTTGACACTCACGTTATATACTACTTATAAGTAGCTCACACCACAATAGGACCATAACCATCGATTAAAGTGGTTATGGAATGAATGTCTAGCTACTGACAACCAAACTTGCAATATTGTCTGGAGTAGGAACAGGTTAAAGAAAGTTAATACGGAGTAAATAAAAATACAGAAAAGAATCATGAAGTAACAGACCATTTGTCTGAGTTATGTCGAAAGGTGCGGAACTTCTGGTTGGAATTCTGGCAGTAATTGTATAATGTGGGTGGAGGCATTGAACAACATGGTCAGAAATTCGTCTCAATGGCACAGTCACATTTATTTGACATCGAGTACTATTCACCATCAAACTACGGTTCTGATGTTTGGTATTTTATTTGAGTTTGTATTATTGTTTACACACTTTGTTTCATCATAGTAATCTCCCTTCTTGTTGTGATGATGACATTGTGATTGGTGACCAATAATAAACGCTTAAGTCAGGGCTTTACATTCAATAAAATAAACTAAATGACTGACTGACTCATTTCCACATAGGATAATACGTACTTTTAACATTTCAAGATAGATGCTAACAGTTTTATGCTGTTACAGGTGGTATGAGGGCGGATGTCGATTTCCGGGTGTTTCCATGAAGAACCTGAAAATCAAGGTAGATTAGCGTTGGTCTTAGACACCTGTGTTAATGTGCTGTGACAAATTGAACTGCTATGCTTACGTACGAAGTTCTACGTTGTAACTGACCGACTGACTAACTGACTATCAGTTTTATGCAGTAGTTAAGAAAATACTAGTCAAGGTTTTACCCAAATACGAAAGAATGTCAAATTGTCCCAGAAAGATGAACTTTCATTCTTGGAATCACGAAGATGACAATCACGTCAACAATTAAAAAAATATGAGAACAAACTGTGGGTTAAAAATGTTCATTAACATATTAAAAATCACACCCAGAAATGCGAAATCGCCGTATGAAAAACTACATTTCTTAGCTATCTTCAAAAGTATTTACAAATCTTAAGAAAAGATTACCCAGTTAAGAGTTTAAACTATCTACCCAAAGGAACAAAAATTGCATAAATAGAGAATGAAACAGTTTATGGTCAGTCACACTTACAGTATACTGTCAATATACGACGTGTCTCTTTTCCACCTAAACGGCAAACCACATGACAATCGTGTGCCTTTTCATTAATGGTTAGACGAGCAGTTAAAGTTAAGTTATCTTTACTTGATGATACATGACCAAGACGTAGAAGTTGATCAGCGTTTTTTCGTGCAACATATGGAGCTAATTCAGATAGTGTTGGAGGGGAACGAAAACCATAGGCTGCATAAAAAACTTCATAGGCTAAATTTTGTTTAGCTTGAGTAACTCGATCGTGTTCAACAACAGCTGTTGGTGGAAGTGGGCATTCAATACTGAAACTTATTGGAGCTGGAGGTAACGATCCATCAGTAGAACATTCAATTCTAACATTTGAGCCTGTAAGAAATATTGGAGGGTCCAAACGAAGATTGGTTGGTACACTATGAATATAGCGAGAAGCTTCTTTTAGTTCCATAGCCATTTTAACAAATGTAGGTTGTTTAATCAACTACAATAAAACACCATGTAGAAATGTTATTCACACCGTCAATAAAAATTAACACATCAATTTATTTGTCAAAATCTTAAACAATTAAAAAGCCTTTGAAACAATATGAATACAGTAAAATTCGTTAATTGAACCAAATGTTTTTTTTAAATTTCCAGGATGTTACCACTGAAACTGAATTTGAAGTTCTAGTTTTTATGCACGAAGAAACGTCCTTGACTATGTTTGGGACACGTATTAAGTATGTTTATTAATCACCATCAACCTCGACGGGCGATCACAGCTAGTGCATGAGGAGATTAGAAGAAAGTTAAGGGCAGTCAGATCAAAATGTGAAATCAGTCCATGAAGTCATTGACTGTTAGACTGAGCATATAGATAGATGAAGATTACCTGGTTTAAGTGACTGTCGTAAACAAAAGACGAAAGTCACCAATGGTTAGAGACCTTGAACGATATGACTCAGAATCGTTGGCAATGGCGCAGGTGCATCTACTCTTTGTGTGTTTTTTAATTCTAACCTTCTGAATTCCTCATAATCTCTATCTTTTTCCTTCTAAATTTATCTCACTGAATTATACTTTTCGAATCATATCTTTGCTCCCTAATCTTCTCCACTGCTGCTAATAATTCTACTATCACTATCACTCTTGGATTTGAACTGACAGTTACGTCTCTGTGCTGACGTGATATGGCAACCTGAACTGATGTACTTATGTACGAAGTTCTGCGTTGTATCTGTCTGTCTGTCATAAATAAAAGTTAGAGGCTGAGGCTGATATGACACAGAACGATTAACAGTGACGCATTTGCATATGCACTTTGTGTCTTCCACTAGACTTCAAGTTCTTCAGTTATTTCTAAATGTATTTTATTTCACTAACACATATTTTTGTCGAATCTTTTACACAATCCGTTTTGCTAACTCAGATACGTTTGTGAGTAGGTTACTCTAGGATTTTAATGTGCTGATTTAGTGTGACAACTTTGACCAAAATATACCTGCCAAATTTTAGGTTGCACAAGACTGATTGGTTACCCGGAAAACTGTTTAAGTAAACAGGAGTCTTGACGCCTTAGGATTCTGGCCTCGATCCTCGGTGGGACTGTGGGTACCCACTGCTAAAGATACCGGGAGTAAAGAAAAACAGCTGTCCCGTACTTCGTTTTTTTTTATATTTCTTTAACCAAAGTTAGTCACTTGCATGAAGCTTCTGATATAAGAGGAAAATTCCGTCATATATTCCAATCAATCAATCAATCAATAGCAACGCAGAACTTCGTACGTACGTACGTACGTCACATATTTCACCCGCTAACCACACTTTAAGCGTGACAGCCTGTGATTCTATTCCGATCCCGAAACCAAAGTAGATGGAGATTTCAAACTGCAACTTAATCGCTGCAAAATGGACCCCTAACCACAGAGGCACCGTCATGTTGAAGAAAAATGTTAAGATATGAGACTTAGTTATGTTAAAACTAACTACATTTTTTAACACTAAGTATTTCATAAGATTACTTTTCAGAGGAAGCAATGAAATACATTTAAGTCCCTACCGAGCCTCAAGAAAAGTATACACGCGAGCAAAACTATATTACCTCAGAAGAATAACTTTAAGTATCATAGACAAACATGGTTGGTATGGTACCCATCCATTATATGAGTATATCCGATAACCTCATATTTAATAAACCGCTATTTATTATCAAAATGTAATCTGAAGCAAGATCCAGTTCAAGCATTCCCAAGGAAATATAACCAAAAGCTTGGACCACATTGCCGAGCAAAACGTTGAATTTGTTTAAAGTTCAGTAGCTGAGACTTACAAATATAACTTTCTTACTTAACGTTACATTAACTCGGCACCTAACTACTGTGAAATTATTGGTTCAAATTTAAACCAGAATTCTCATAGAATGAAATAACGTAGAAACAATGACACTGAGAATGATTCGACAAGACAAAATGAAAGGGCAAATTTGAATAAATACTAGAAACCAAGACCTAGAGAGTAAGTATAGTCATCTAAGTCGTTGTGATTGACTGTGACCAATGTCGCTCGTCTTTGATGATTGATCGCGGTTAACGCATAAGTCCCAAACAAGTAGTCTGAAACGATCAACCATGTAAAAGCTCGTTCTAAAACCTGGTAAAATAAATAACACCTGAACCGCAGAAACTATCAATCCTATGCAAGCCGCATTTGTGTCTGTGTTTATGCGGTATGGCAACCTGAACTAATATACCCATGTACGAAGTTCTACGTTGTAACTGATTGACTGGCTATGCAAACAAAATATTATATTTAAGTCTAATTTCAAAAGCTTAGTACTAAACAGTTAGGTTTCAGAACCAAACATCAAACTGTAGACGTTATCAGAGTTTTGATAAAATGCAAGCCGACGCTGGTATGAACTTTATCAAAAGACTCTTTACAACACTGAAAAACCGTGCAATTAGGCTGTTTACGTTAAACTTTGATGTACATAATAGCTAGTCCCTATTAAACGTAAGCGAAAGTTACAATTGATTATTAGATTTTTTTATCAAGCCACTAACTAAAATTCAAGGAATAACAAATTCACTAAGATTGCAGGTGCACTTTTGAAAAATTGTATCCAAAAAAATCCAACTATACCTGAATAGTTTCAGAGAATATTGCAGGTGTATCTGCAAGCCACAAGGAATACATATCCTTATAATAAAAAACTTGTAACATCTGTCCATAATGAGATTCTTCTGGTGTGAAAGTGACCGAGATTTCGTTTTGAGGTTTGTAAATGCACGAAAAATATTTCTCTAGAGGACCGCCACACTTGTCTTTTTGAACGCGGTAAGCTCTCTGACCACCGATATCAAAACTGAGTGCCGAGTTAACATCGTAGTCAGCACCTCCAACAGGACTAAACACCCAAGTAACAGTTTGTCCTAATTCAACGGGAAATAATGTCTTCGGCCACACAGTCACTGAACTGATAGAACTGGACTTCATGGATGGTTCTAAAGATCACAAAGTGCTATCAAAAAATTACCTGTCAGAACAGTGCCAAAATGCATGGCCACGAGCAATAAAAATGCCATAACTACCTACTTAACAATCGAAGCATCAACTAGAAAACCCCATCAAAACACGCGGACCTATTTGCCGGGCTTTTCCAATATCCAATATTCTTTTCGCTAGCTAGTATAAACTAATAGCTTTCTTTGCGCTCGCTATATTGTTTGAAATATTTGAATTGGTTGTGAGCGATACTTAAGGAGCTTTCACTTAACAAGCCACTGTGGATCAATAGTGCCTTCAGTAGGGAACTTGGGAATATTTAGCAAGCAGATACAATATCCAAAATCTTTTTCACGGGTTATTATAAACCAACTTATTTCTTTGCGCCCGATTCTCGTTCTTTTGGTACTGTTCCAGGTGTTTGGTAGCGGTTCTTATTTGATCCCTTGTATGGGTTGAAGGATCCCAAGCACGGATAAAGGAGGAGGCTTGAGATGTGGTTTGGCGACCTCATCCAGGAAAAACCTAACTTGCCAAAAAAACGCTAACAGCGAAAAATAATTCAACCCATATGAACTCTGCTCTAGGAGTTAAAAGGTCTCCATTTAGAAGAATTATAACGTCTCATGATGAAAGCCGAGTTTCTTCGGAAGTCATTAGGCCGATGCCCCTTCTAACAACCAGCAACCGGGAATTTACATCCACTCCCATACCCATAAAAGCACACGAGATTAAATTGGTTACAATCAAATCCTTTCTACACCTCTTAATAACTTTCTTATCACCTCGACTAACACATCCTTCGATCGTTTATCACCTCACACCACTGAAGCAAACGGTACGAGCTCACGAAATGTTATTCCTGATCTCTTGAAACCCCATCATAAATTATATATTGGGGCTTTTAATGTTCGAACCTTGTGCCAAATAGGGCAATAGGCTTCATTAACTAGAACTTTGGAATCCCGGGCGATCAATGTATGTTGCCGCTTCAAAACGCGCATACAAGTTCCGAGTAAAATCATTAATTTGATTCCACCTGGTGTAGATATAGAAACAACACGGCTTACGCTCCGTGTCTGTGGTAGCCCTGATGCTTTCCAGGGTCTAACTGGCATAGATATAACATTGAGTCCTTGCGCAGAACTATTTTTTCTAGATGGGGTCTATGTTGATAGTCGTTTGTGCGCTGTCCGAATGAAGGGGACAGTAAGGCCGCGTAAGGATAGGGACCTCTTCGTCGTATCTGCCTACACCCTTACTGACTGCAGTTCAGACTAGTTTAAAGATGAGTTTTACAGAAAGCTCGAAAAAGTTAGGGGCTCTGGAGTAGTAATAATGACTGGTGACTTTAAAACTCAAGTAGGTAGACTCAGCAAAATGTAAAGACCCTTCGTGGGATCTTATAGAGCCGCGGCTAATAGAACAGATAACCGCGACCGTCTGCTGCAGCTATGCTCAGATAACCGCCTATATCTAGCAAACACTAACTTTTAGGCATAAAAGAGGATCTTTTGACCTGGTGTTACGGGAGGAATGAAGACATTTTGCTGATCAAAACCTTTATATATAAATATCATTAATTTCACTGTGTTTTTTGGGTACATTTGTTTTACTTAACTTATGAACTTGTTTGAATTATTATTTTCTGCCATTTTGGACTCCCGTTTCTCTTGGTTGTTCGTTTGCAGTTTTTTGCTCCAAGAACCCATAAAATAGAAGAACGACATTGGTCGTCTATTTGTAATAACATATTTTGGTCGATTTTGTGATTTGGAATAAACTTTGGTATCTACTTTGGAGTTTCGTTCTTATTTAATATTTGGGATCGTGAATTGCAAATAGATCGACAACCGTGCTTCAAAGGATCAAAAGGCAAAAAACTGGACGTAACAAAAGTTCTTCTACTTTTGGCTTTGTCACACATTGGATTCTTTTGGTCGTTTGGCTCCAGAGGTTCTTCAATTCAAATTTTGGTCGTTGGAAACTTTTGGAAATTTGGGTCCAAAAGTTCTTCTAACTTTTAATTTGGTCGTTGGATACTTTGGACACTTCAATTTTGGTTCTTTGGTCATACTTTGGATACTTTTGGACATTTTTGTTATTATTGGTCGAATACGTTTGGATTAATTTCACATTTGCTTGGTAATCGATTTCTAACAAAAGCATACAATGGAAACTAGAAGCAAAAAGCTGAAGGAAAATTACGAAATGGATGGTAAAATTTCTAAAGCTGTTTGTGGTATGTCTGATTTTAATGATGATAAACTTGATGATATTAGTGTTAATAGTAAGTCTTCATCTCAGTTTAGTACTTCTAGATTGAGGTTAGATAAGGCATTAATAAAGAAGAAGAATTTGGAAAGGAGACTTGAGTTAGAAAAGCAGCTTAAAATGTTAGATCTTCAAGAGGAGGTTTATATGGCTGAATTAGAATGTAAGGTCATAGAAAACGATAACCAACTGTCAGTAGACAAGGCTGAGATAAATTCTAAGGTGGAAAGGTACTTGGATTGTGATATTGCGCGTCATAAGATAATTAACGCCTCAAAATGCGATTGTATTGATGAATTAAAGGACACGTTACGTGCTACGGTTAATAATACAGTTTTGCCTAAGATCGATAGGATGTTTTTTGACGGACAACCAAGCCAGTACCACCGTTTTATTAGTCAGTTTACAAGCATTATAGAGAGTAAACTGTCTGACAAGGGCCAGTTGTCGTCATATTTGTCATACCATTGTAAAGGAAAAGCCAGAATGGCTATTGAAGCTTGTATTTCCTTGCCCAGTCACTTGGGTTACGATAGAGCTAAACAAATTTTGTATGATCTG